CGAGAAAGAGGTCAACTTCATCCAGGCCCATCTTTTGAAGCGAGAGGGAATTTTCGAGGAAGTTTTCCCTCTCGGGGAAGCTTCCCACGAGGGACCGCGTGGAACCCATGATGACTCCTCGAAATTTCTCTCCTTATTTTCCAGGTTATTATTAAACGCTGCCATATGCTTATCCGGAACAGCCTCAGCCGCTTCCGGATCCGGGGAATGTATCAATTGCAAAATATCTACGCTGCACCGCATCCCCCGCAAGCCATTGCCCAGCGGAGGAAAGCTCCAAATGTTTTACCTTTGCCGCCTTTTTGTGTACTATGCCTCCTTTTGCCCACAGTTCTCGGCATACCAAATTTGCGGAACTTCGCAATTTGCATAGTCTCTTCTAAGCCTAAGCCAAAAGCAATCTCTTGTTATTCTTCTCCAGGAAAACCGATGATTACCACCAAGGTTCAACTGTTTGGGATCAAGAATGATCCCTTGCAGTTCTCGGGAGTCCAATGCTATCGGTTATTCGGGTGCTCGTATACAATATTTTTTTTATATTCGCGCCTCGTATACCATCATCGATCGCCTGAGACTTCCGATGGCTGCTGAGGAACGCAAGACTGCACGAACCACATACAATGTTAAGGGCCACCCGATGCAGCAGATCACGGAAGGGTTGTTCATGCATCCGAAATAGAAGATGCGGACTCTACCATGTCTCTATGGGGATCCACTATCCACCTTAGGACCTTACAATAATTAGAGGTCGGCGAAATAGCCTCCTTCGATGGGAAGGCTCTGGTAAGTCCTTTGGAAGATTTACGGAATTGTACCATCGAAATGGGTAGGTGTTTAACTCCTTCCGCGGTAGTAGTATGGGAACCTCTCACTATTACTCCCTTCTGTAAGCTTCAAATCCTAGGGACATAAGACGGGTTAGTAACATCTTCATACGTTGTTATCCCTGAATGAGGTTACCTTACAATTTCATACTAATTTTTATGCTCAATTTAATCCGCCACTGTAGTATTCGGGACATATACCTTACTACTTCGAACTATCTAGTGAGATTTCCCCAAGTTTCATCCGGAGTCCTGATACAAGATTTTATTGCAGCACATAGTGGAAGGCGTTCGAAAAGGAGTGTGGGTCGGTGGACCGACGCT